ACAATTTCCAGTGGAGTCGCATTGTTGACAACCGGGTGCACATGATTTGCAGGAATCGCCAAAGAGAAAGTATCCCGGTTTACAGGAGGAGCATTGAGCGGTCGAATTTTGTGATGTAATCCAACCAGCAAGACAAGAACAAATGCCATTTGAGTCGCATGTACCGTTGTTACAGTTGCAGGGCTTGCAACCCGGCCCAAAAAAACCAGGCGCGCAAGTAGTGCAATTTGGTCCGGCAAAGTTTGGAAGACATTTGCATTCACCCGAACCATTTAATCCATCCGAGCAGGTCTGGTTCTGTGTGTTCGGGCAATTTTGGGAGCAGGCTTTTTTGTGTGTGTGTGAAACGAGTAGGAGAGAAGAACTGACGTGTTAGGATGGTTGAACAATCGATAAAAAGCAAACTCTGAATACATGACTATGCATTTGGGAATATGCTTTTATATGCGTTACTTACGTTGGCAAGTGGGACCCCAAAACCCAGGAAGACATTGATCGCATAAAGCGCCCGTGAACCCAGGTGAACACGTACACACGTTCTTTCCCGAACAAAACCCACCCGAGGCACAATCGGGCGTGCAATCAGCTATTGAGGGTAAAGAATTGTCATTGTTAGAATATTGAGCAAACAAGACAAGATAATTCTTCTGTGCTATTACTGAGAGCTTCACTCGTATGTCCTAATATAGACAGACGAAACCTACCAGCAGAAATATCCGCATTCTGAACATTCTTGCGCGCGGTAGCAATCAACACTCCCTCGAAATTAGCAACGGTTTCGAACAGACCAAAATTGTCTCCATTTTTCGATGTAGTATCCCACATTACGGCTTTAAACCCATCCTTAACCATAACAGAGCCGACACCAGTATCAAAACTAAAAGAGTTTCCGGTAGGTTCAACAAATGTCGTCGTCGCGTTCTGATAAACAGTATTGTTTGGCCCGTTTCCAAATCCCGACGACAAAAACCAACTAAAGCCAAAATAGGCAGGCTGCTCGTATACGATCACCCCATCTTTCAATCCAACTTGGAACGCTGTTGTCAAATCGCTGATAGGATCGATTTGCGGTGTATCGGACGAAAAAACAATCGATACGTTGTTACCGGGACGTACAATGAATTCAAAGCCGGGAGGTATTTCGAGTGAAAAAGGTGCGGAGAATATCGATGAGGGGAGAGTTTGAGAGGTGTATGTTGATGGTAAAAGATTCATCGGCTCGGAGAAAAAGTATGAAGTTGAATAAAGAGCGACTGAACCTAATGGAATGGGATATTTGGTAGGTAAGACAAGAAAACCAGATTAGACGATACCGTAATGCAAGATAAAATAAAAAGTCTGCCCCTCCCCTCCTTCCCCCCATCCCACATAGATGAATCCTTACCGGGAGTAGTGTGATATATATCCCACTGGGCACTCTCGCCTCCACACAATCCAACTCCTACGCCCACACTTCCTCCTGCGGCATTCCCCGTAGCTGTCCCGACCAAACAACTTCCGCTTGGAGTTTTCACTTGACCGGCATCTGCAATCCACGTCTGCGCGATGTTTGTCTCATCACACGTACACGCTTGTACACCACCAGCCGTCGAGGTAAGGCAGAGCTTGGTTTGCGAGTACGCAGGGGTTGACGTTATTTGAAACTGTGTGGAATTCGTAGACGATGCCGAAGATGTTGTGACGGTATGCCATTGTAAAGAGGCAGATGAGGAAGTGTTGGAGAAACGATCGGTGGGACAGAGTGTCGTGGAAATAGGAGAGCAGGAGTCGGAGGCAGCAGGTGAAGGAAGACTTATACAAGTCTTGAAGGCTTTATTGCGTATATATTTGGCTGTAATGTTAAAAGCGGTTTTGGGAATTAAACATATCGTTCGTCAATCGGGGGATTGATGTTTTGTGGTAAATGAAATGAAATGGAATGTTGATGTACTCACCCGCATACGCAGACTGTGATATTAATATTATAATTATTACTGTATAAAGGTGCCAGCCTTGAATCCTCATTTTTGTTTTATGTTCTAAGAAGAATTAACTAGCACAAGTCTGCTCGG